ACCTCTCATGACACCATTCCTCTGTTCACTGATTGGCTGAAAAGCTGGAAGCATTGCGAGGCTAAGAAGTTCGAAAATGGCGTGCCTTGGACAGACGAGCAGTTTAGACTTGTTCAAGATCCCACGGCTTATTCTGCCTTTTGTAAATCGGACATCTTTGGCTCGTGGGAACCCGCTGACCGGGTTTACACTGGAAGCCAGCATAAAAACTTACGTGCAAACCGTATTACAAACGAGGAAAGCCAGGAAAAATACGCGCAACTCTTTAAGAGTCTTATGACCAGTGAACGAGAGGAGGAGTTCAATAACACGGCCACGCCCAAAGTCACAAGCTTCCCAGCCACGTGCGAGCACGTGGCTGACGCTGATAATGGACCAGCGCCCTGTTTCGACAGAACACACTCTCGCGGAATTCAAACAGAGAAGATCTTTGGAGATCCTCTCCGAAAGGACAATGATTTGAGGTACATCAAGTACTCGGCGAATTGTGCCGATCAGAACTCATTTCACAGCTCGTATGAAACGTTGCTGACAATTTTGGCGGATCGCATTGAGATGAATCCAATGGACTTACATACTGCAGTCAACAAACTTGAGAACGCTTTACTTTTTGGGCACAGTCTTAAAGGAGTCTTCTAATATATAATTACTTTATATAGAACAGGTTTTCACAGAGCCGGGTCTTTTGATGATAACAGTCCATGGTCCATTTTCTGACATGTGGCAATTCTGACAGTGAACTGGCAGCCCCTAAACCTTGCCTCATTCTTTACTCGTGGGCAAGGTTGGTGATTCGTTTACTACGGGTAGCAAAAAAGCCAGTCATTAGAATGTAAACTCAACGGGAATTAGAGAACACAAGAAGTGTTTCTTTTAGGAAACGCCTGCTTGAGCGCGTTCTTAAATTTTTCAAGTGTTCTTTAATAACCGGAGAGTCTTCCGGCAATCTAATGCCTGGATTTGCTTTTGTATATTGACGCTTTATACAACGATTTATCGCACACGAAACGTTAAAGCACGGTTTTGTATGTCTCATCTCCTCTGATAACACATTTGATGTACGCAGAATCTGATCCGTAGTACAACAGCGCATAGAAATCAAGAAAAATTAAAACACTCTTTCAAACTTAAATATTTTATTCACAAACTATTCACATTTAAAATATACTAGGTTTTATAATTACTCTCAGAAGCATATATGCTTCTGTTACTCTATATACACTGTGCAGATGTGCACGTCTTTGTGCCTGACTTTCTGAAAACCTCCTTGGAAATAAAGGATTCTCTAACAATAAAAAAGAACGATCTATTCACTTTTATTCTTGTATACTTTCATTTAACCAAACTTGCTCAGTAAATCCAATGAATTAGTCTGTAATCGAACAAATTTGGCGAATTCATGAAAGTTATCTATTATTGATCAAATAAACGGTTTATTAGATCAATAATAGGTCAGTTTCATAATTTGCAGTTATTGTATAATAGTTTGTAATAACTTAGCGACCATTTTATTAGAGTAATCTCTATTCATAGCTGTTATATATGGTCTGACTTTAGTGTGCAAAAATCTAAATTGCCCTAGGAATTTTTAATGGCTCAGAAGCCGACGTGTCAGCCGTGTAATTAATATAATATTGATTATCTTTCAACTCAGTTCATTGGCTAAATAACTGATGTGTATAACAAGTGATGATAGAAGTTTAGTCTGTCATGGCGAACCATGGATGCTGCAGAGTTTGTTTCAGGGTTGGACGATTGCTTGGAGTCGTGTTCAGCAGCGGGTAAATAAGGTTCTTTGTCTCTGTTGAAAAAAATAAAAAAATAAATATCGAGATGTAAGCATTGTATCACGGAGCTGAAATTACCCGCTGCAGAATCAATATGGAAGGTGAAAGTTTATAATAAGAGAAACAGTGAAAGTGTTTCTACTTGACAAATCAAGTAGAGATTAAGAAGGAAATACCTGGTGAAAGCTGGTGTGGTACTCTAGGTGCCATGCGCAGAGCGTGACGTGGATGTTTAAATGCTGGGACTACAGGTGACAGCATATCCACAAGAAGGATTCCCATTTGCCACACAGTGCTCTGACAGCCGTCATATTGCTTGGGTTTACTGAATTCAGGAGGCATGTACTGTAGTGTGCCTGAATGCAAACAAATCACACTATCACATAAGTTGCCAGGTTTTATTTTACTTGCAAATGTCGCACACAAGACACTCCAACATTATCCGCACCTCTGAATTTTGTGAAAGGTTCTTCTTGAACTTCAGATGCCAGTCCAAAGTCAATCAACTTGGCTTCATCAGTGCTCATGTCTACTAGGATGTTCTCTGGTTTGATGTCTCGGTGTAGGACACCAGTCTCCTCGCAGTTGATGTTGGCCTGCAGGATCTGGGCAAAGTATTGTCGGGCTTCTCTCTCTGTCAGCGGTCGCCCCATGTTGTCTCGGTCGTGTATGACGTCAAACAGGTCTTTACAGACTTCCGGTCTTTCCATGACATAAACATAATGCTCATCAGTGAAGGCCACTTCATATATGTCGATCACGTGACGGTGCCTTGCTTGGCGCTGAAGATAAGCCTTGGTTGGAATTTCTCCACCGTTTATCTATAACAAGGGACGGGAGGGAGAGTGTTTGTTTTGTTATGCAACATTTTTCGAAATCTTCAACTAGTTTTTGCAAAAATCACAACATGTTAAAATCCTTTTCGACTTACTGACCATACTGCTTCTTTACCCTTATTACAACTGCCTTGAAACTATGAGCCACACACTTTTTCATTGATAACCCAATTTTACATTTACCAACCTTTTTAAATTCCTTGACTGAGCTTTTCTGCACAAATTTAAGCGCCACCTGAGAAGAAATATAAACTTTATTAGTTTTGTTCCTTTTAATTCTACATATATATTAGAAAACAATGCTATATTTTGGAATGTATCAACTGCTGTTACTGGTAAACAAGATCTAGACAAAGTCTGGAACCTCGTGGTGTTTTACTGGCATGAGGTAAATACCAGAGGGAGTCCAGAATAAAACAAGACCTTATATTTATCAGTCTTGCCCGAATATCTCTTCCCACAAAAATAATACATGATTTAATAAAGAAATGCAGAAGACTGTAGTGCTCAACTTACCGGCAGATTGTCCTCTTTGCGTGTTGCAGCGACGACTTGACCGAATGAACCAGCTCCAAGGACTTTTCCTATGTCATAATCAGCAAGCTCAGCTACAATTCCAAAACAATGAAAGTCACAGCCGTAAATAACATATTGAAATCTAGGCTTAATTCTCGAAGTTCAAATAAAGTTGTTGTTGTTGAAACTTACCTTGAGAAGCTAGTTTCTTGATAAATTCTGGCGCTTCAGAAAGTTTCTCTTGATCGTTTTCATAAATGGAATCCCAAGATGACAAGCTGTCCGCTGACAGTGTAAATTTCATCTCGGCGTTTACCCAGTCGGGTTTCTGAAGAACTAGAAATACGCAAAGAACGCAGAATTATTATTAGTACGGCTAGAACAAAATAGTTATCAATGTTTTCTTGTGATTGGTTTAGTTAGAAAGTCTACGGTGCAGTGCTTCAATTTTATACCAATAAAGCTGTATAAACTGAAGTGGATGTAAATTAGTAGTGTAGGCAGCTCATAGGGGACCTTCCCTTTCACTGCTCTTAAAATTGTGAGAGATAATGAAGTAAAATTAAGAGGTATGGGAGTCCAATATCCAAAATGGTGGTGGTCGACGAATTTGTCCAGGCCCCTCTCGGTCAAGGGCGGTGGACCAATCAGCGTGCGGGATGAGTGATGACGTCATAGGTAGGACGGCGTCTACCACTAGGACGACAGAAGGTGGGTGACGTCATGAGGGGGTATGTGATGGGAGGGGGTCCTCAGACCCAGAAAAAGGGAGGAGACCAACATCTTTTTTTAATGGTTTTATCGCCAAAAATCCTTAGTTGTTTACAACGTGGAAGGCTGGAATTGAAAAAACATGCGGAATAAAAAATGCCTGACATAAAATATGTCACCTACTTTCAACAACTCACTTCATGGTTAGAATCGTCATAACGGACTACTGTGGTGACGTCACGAGGGGCTAGCCCCTCTTGGCTGACGCCATGGGATACCCCTCCCACCCAGAGAGCTGAGGAGTCTGGATACAAAAAAGAGATTCACGAACCATGTTTTTAATGTTTCACAAAATCCTGGGTTTTTTTACAAAGTGGAATCGTGACTATCGATTAAAACTATTTTCTACAACAAGGGTGCCAGGGACGTCGCTGGACTTGAAAAACTATGCGTAACAAAAAAGAGAAAATACGCGAATCATAACAATTCTCTGACTCGTCAACAATTTTCCGCAAATCTTAAGTTTACAAAGTGGGAAGATGCCCAAGTCACTCGCGCCCGGTCCGACAGTTTTTCACAGGTACTCAATATCAAATAAGGTGATCAATCAAAAACGCCGCCCCTTTTGCATTTGAATGGGTTTGATTTGCATAATGACCCAAACGGGGATCGGGGGATACCCCCTCATTTTTGGTGACGTCACGAATGGGTCACACTCAGGAATCACGCAGCAACTGATTGATTCGGTTGTTTTCTGAAACAACCACAGAACATGATAAGATTTATTTTGATATTTCAGCAAGTGTAACCGTATGTTCGCTGGGAACTAGACTCGTTTCCACTCGCACCTTCTCAGACCCTTAGTCCCAGACCCCAAAACGCGTGATATTCTGTCCTATTTCTGTTTGTTTTTTGCCACGAAGTCTTTCTTTGATCCGTTCCTTGCTCTTGGCATAATAGCCTCTCCATCTTGTGTGGCGTCTTACAAATAATGAGTAAAACCCTACAATCACCCTCCTTTGTAAGATTCACATGGCTAATTCAGTGTATCACACTGAGGCTTCAACCTCTTCTTCTGCTTCTTTGTCATCATCCGACTCGTCGGGGAGTAACTTCTTCTGCATGATTCTGTTTAACGGGAATTTCCGTTTG